TTTGAACTTGTGATCCTTCTGCCTCAGCTTCCTGAGCCACGGAGATCACAGGTGTGCACCATTTTGCCCAGCATGGCTAGTACCATTATTTAAAAAATTTTTATATCTAAATTTTTTATCCTTTGGATTACCCTAACATAAACATGAAGTACAGATCTAGCATCAAGTGGTGAATTGTCCTTTTTCTACCACTGACACAAAAGATCACTTTTCTTTATAAACTAAATTCTACATATTATTAACATTTGGAGGTAGGCAGGTGGGCTGATCAGCAGGAACAGCTGATCTTGTTCAGATGGAAAAGGAAGACAGTAGGCAAAGCAGAACTGGAATTGCATAACCTTCTTTTCACTCAGGCTGACCCAGTGAGTGCATGTATGGCTGCTGTCACAATATTCTCCTAACAGAGCTACTGGAGGGTTCCTAACTGCCAACCCCAACCACACAGAAACCAACAGTTGAGAGAAAATGCTTTTTAATATAAAACAGGGTTTGAGCACAAAAATACTATGCATAACCAGAAACCATTATTCTACTAATAAGGACATTATTATTTTATTTAAGAATACAGGAATTATGTTATTAAGGAATGGCAAGAGGGAAAAAATCTTTAAAGTCCAATTTACTTTGTTAGGGAAAAAGATGTTTATTTGGCTCTGGTCACAGCTCCATCATGTCTACTTTCTTTGTAAGTTCTGCTTCAATGGTATCCTAAAGAAAGAAAGAAGGAATATAAATAAGAATATAAGACTGATGCTATAACTTCTACTGTATTTAAAGTAGGGGAAGCAGGCTGGGGTTGTAGCTCAGTGGTAGAGTGCTCGCCTAGCATGAATGAGGCACTGGGTTCGATCCTTAGCACCACATAAATATGAAAATAAAAAAGATATTGTGTCCACCTAAAACTAAAAAAATAAATATTTAAAAAAATAAAGTAGGGGAAGCAAAAAAAATTAAAACAAATTTTTGAAAAATATTATTATATCAAATATGCTTTGAGATATTCCCAGTCCCTTACCTTTACATTTCCCTTCTCCCTCCCTCCCGGCCTCCCTGCCCTAGTCTTCAGATTCCTTCCCCACCTGAAGTGGGGAAGAAGGTTTTAGAGAGATGGGTTAGTGTAGCGGTATGTGTCTAGATTCTTCAGACCTTTACCCCCAGAGCAGCATTCCTCAGCAGTGCCTCTCATGTAACCTCTTTTCTATCTCATTGCACTTTCCTCACTGCTTCTCATTTGGCCTAAATGGGCCAAATGGTTTCTGCAATTATCTTTCTCCCTCCAATGCATCTTATAACTGGTTACAGAACGGTCTTCCTAAAGCATTGGCCTGATCAAAAAACACATTTTTTTTGTTTTGTTTTTGATACTGGGGATTGAACCCAGGGGCTCTTTATCACTGAGCTATATCCCCAGCTGTTTCTTTTCGTTTTTTTTTTTTTTTTTTGAGACAGGGTCTTACTAGGTTGCTGAAGCTGGCCTGTGTGATCATTCTGCCTCAGCCTTCCATGTAGCTGGGCTTACATGCATATACCACCATACCAGGCTAAAAAGCACAGTTTTAAAATCATTTTTCTTGAACTTAAAATACAAGGAAACAGCTGAGTGTGGTGGCAACCACCTGTAATCCCAATGGGTTGCTGAGACAAGAGGATCGTGAGTTCAAAGCCAGCCTCAGCAACAGTGAGGTGCTAAGTAACTCAGTGAGACCCTGTCTCTAAATAACATATCCCCAAAAAAAGGACTGGGATGTGGCTCAGTGGTTGAGTGCCCCTGAGTTCAATTCCTAGTACCCCACCCACTTAAAAAAAAAAAAAAAACCCAAGGAAACAAAAAGTAACTTTTACTGTCCCCTACAGCTTCCTCTTTATATAGGATACTTTACATCCCAATCCAATGAATCTTTTTTTTGTTTGTTTGTTTTTGGTAGTGCAGATTGAACCCAGGGGTGCTTAACCAGAGGAGCCCATCTCTAGCCCTTTTTATTTTTGATTTTGAGACAAGGTTTCACTGGGTTGCTAAGTCCCCACTAAGTTGCTGAGGCTGGTTTGAACTTTTGATCTTCCTGCCTCAGCATCCAAAGTCACTGGGATTGCAGGCGTGTGTGCCAGGCTTCTAACCCTATTTTAAGTTGTACACTCCTAAGCAGCTGGACCTCATCACTGGCCACAGTTTTCAATTCTTATGTCTTTGGTGGTACTACATCAACCAGTCTTCTTCCTTTTTTTTTTTTTTTGGTGGTGCTTTTGCTAATTCTTTTTGCCAAATACTCTGTATTTCTGAATCCTTCTTATCCACTAGGAAAATCTTCATAAAACTTTAAAAAACATAAAATGTGGGCTGGGGTTGTGGCTCAGTGGTACAGTGCTTGCCTAGTATGTGTGAGGCACTGGGTTCAATTCCCAGCACCACATAAAAAAATAAATAAAGATATTATTTCCATCTATAGCTAAAAATATTTTAAAAATAAAATTCCAGTATGTATATATATATATATATTAAATATTTCTTTTTAGTTGTAAATGGACATAATCTTTATTTTTTATTATTTATTTTTATGTGGTGCTGAGGGCCTCACACCTGCAAGGCAAGCACTCTATCACTGAGCTACAGCCCAAATATACTATGTATATTTTTATGGAAATGAATACACACATATACACACCAAATATATATATATATATATATATGAATAGATGCTTGGGAATGACACAGCAACTTTGGGACTACAGTTTACCTAGGAAGAGGAAAGGAAGGAGTACGAAAGGGAGTGTAGCTATACTAGCATTTATTTTATTTCTTTTTAAGAAATTTTAAGAAAAAAAGTGGGAAGTACTTACTAATTCTCTTTTTGCTTCTTCAATTTTCACTTGAGCAAGTGATGGATTCTTTTAAAGGAAAATAAAATGAGGAAAGGTTATAATGCTTCAATTTAGATGGTGGGGTGGTAAGTGGAGCACAGGCAGAACCTACAATTCCTTCCAAAAAGCAGACAACATGCAGACAACCTGAAATTCACCAATGACTCTAAATCCTTAAGTATAAACCCTCTATTATCATGACCATACAGTGCCTTTTTTTTTCATGTAAAAAAACTTTTTTCACTAAAACTGGAAAAGGCACCATAAAAGTCCTAACTCCAGCTGTCCATCTGAAGTAGCACACCATGGAAACAGTGCCACGTGGCAGGCACTCTGGGCACACAGCTCCCTATCATGGCTCTAAGGCCAAGCAATCAAGCAGGAAGAAGCTCCCATCTCAATTTGAGGCCCCAATATTACAGACTTAAGCACCTAGGATCAATTATAGCAGGTGCCACCTTGTGCCTAGCTCTACAAAGCAGGGAGCAGCAGGACTTGGTACCCATATGTCACCCTTTGGCTCTGAAAGTCTAGATGCAGTTTCAGCAAGAAGTCTTTTATCCCACTCCAGGTTCAGGGGGCCTGACCTCACTACCTTGATTTGACTCACTCATTCCCATCTCAGGGCTCTGTGCTTTTCTCTCTGCCGGGATCCCCCTCCCTAGATGTTCACGTGATCCACTCCTAATTCCTGAGGCCCTGGCTCACATGCACTCTGCCGACCTTTCTAGACCATTTCATCTATACTAGCCTATGAGCACTCTATCACGTTACTATTTTTTATAGCACTTTTACCAATTAAAACTTTTTCTGTTTATTTGTTCTTTGCTTGTTTTGTTTTTTCAACTAGAACACTGGTTCTGTGGAATCAGAGATCTTATTTTTCTTTTCAGTGCTAAATATTCAGGACCTTGAGAAAAGCCTAGCACACAGAAGTTCATGAAAATAGCAGTTAAACTGAATTTCCTCACTAGGAAACCCTGCCCTAGGCTGAGAAGGGCCCATAGATCAGGACTATAGGATAGAGAAGTTCCACCAGAGGGCCAAGAGAGCAGCTATGGCCCAGCCTGACCCATCGGGCTCATTTTAATAAGTCACTCACTGCTCATTCAGTGACTGCCTTCACTTAAAGGCTTAGAGGTATCTGGTTGGTAGGGATTAAGGCCCTGGTCTGAGTTAATTCTCAAAGTTTTGGGGCATAGCCTCTTTTTTGCCAGAAGAGGGCTTTTTGGCCACCAGTCCTTTGTCATCCTTGCTGTTCTTGAGCAGGGCTTTGCTCTTTGGAGGGACGGAGAAGGTGAGAGAGCTCTTGTTGAAATCGAGTGGGAAGATACCAACATCTCCACCAGAGGAGTTCTTGGACACCTGCAGATACCATTTCCCTGGCCCAGTTACCAGTTTCCTGTCCTGCAAGATCAGGACACTGTCTGCTTCTTGGCTTGTTGTGGCTAAGCCAAATATGGATGCTGTCTGCAGTTCTTTGTCATCATCCTCCTTCCGGGAGTGAGTGACCAGTGTCACGTGGCAGCTGTTGCCTGTTGCAAACTTCCAAAAGGCTCCAAGGATGTAGTCTTGAACTGCAATTCTGTCTGTAGACAGCTATTCGTGACCCATCATGAACTGCAAGTTGTTGATGACCACATGACAAATATCACAGACATAGACCACATGTTGCATTGTGTCTATTATTCTCTTGCCTGTGAAAAGTCATGAAATAGAGGGGCAGGTCCTCAAAGCAGGTGGCCCACTCTTCATATTTGTCCAGTTGTTCTTCCAGCTGCCCCATGGTTGGGTCAGCAAGACTTAGGCTAGTGTCACATGGATGATCTCAAAGCTACCCCATAGTGTTCACCACCTGGTTACACAAGTCCAGGGCATACTCACTAATAAATGTCATCTTTCCATTGCGTGTTGGCCCTGTAAAGACTCTCATCTCACCTTTCCGGTGCTCCTTTAAGAGATAATTAAAGTCTGGGAAGTGGGTTCCAGCAGATACCAGCTGCTTGCTCTACATTTGACAGTTCTCCTAGCATCTCTTCCTGAAACTTCCAGAAGGACACAATAGATTTGTGCCAAGGAGGCAGGGCAGTATGAAGAATACGAGAAATTTAAGCCTTAATTCATGGCCTTGAGGGATGGGGCTATTAGTCTCCAGGATGCACCAAGGAGCAACACATGGGGTTCAGTTTTCAGGCAAACACTTGGCAGTTTCCCAGGACTAAAGGTTATCCCCTAGCCAGAAGAGGACCTGTCGGAACTGTTCAAGGTAAGGTAGTAAGGCAGGGGGTAAAAAGACAGTTCCTTTGGGAAGAGTAAGGGCAGGAAGTCCCGTAGACTAGTTCAAGGCCAGGCTGTCCAGCTCATGACTGGACAGGACCATCGACACATCTTGATAGCTGATTGGTGGTACCAACAGGTCATGGGAGGCACCAGGCCAGGGAATAGTGATCTTCATACAGTGCATTCCATCTCCCTGGCCTTCATATAGTGCATTCCATCTCCCTTGGCCTCAAAGAAGCTTCAGGCCTTGTAATTCTAAATCCTGAGGGTAGAACCAAGGAAAGACCAGGCTGCAAGCAGGTCAGACACTCACTTTGGTAAGGCCAAACATCACAAGAGCCATCTGGGCTTTCACTGTGTCAGGAAGCTCCCAGAGGGGTATTGCTTGGTCCCAGGTACTCCGGGCCTCCTTACTATCCTTAGCTTCTGGGGCCTCACCTCCCCTCTGGCCCCAACACTCGTCCCTCAATGCTGGCCTGGAAGTCTTCCCAGCTCCCCTCTGCTTGGCTCCAGACATTCAGAGAAAGCAGCCTGTGGTCCTGTTAATGAAGAGACTGAAGGAAGTGACAACACCAGTCTGATCTTTGAACTCTGACAACCCCATAAAGGGGCTTGGTGCTCAAAGGCAACCGTAGCCATCTTGTAAGAGGATTCCACATACCTGCAGATAATGATGGATTTTGGTTGTAGCTACAGGGAACACTGGTACCTCTAAGACTGGGAGACCTTCCTTCCTGTACTTGTGACAAGGAGAACCTGGGACAAACTTCAGGGTAAACCCCTCCGACTCATCCACTCCCCATGCAGGGGCAGCAAGATCTGAGGGGATATGCACCTCAGAGGAGGACCCATATTCCTAGCGGAGTAGGAAGTCAATACTTGAAAAGCCTTAAATGCCTGGTTTGGGTGCCTTCATTAAGACAAACCCTAAGGAACACTCTACAGCGGTCATTGTAGTTGACTTCTGTCTCCCATAAAACTTGTCATAAACACCCCCCTGAATCTTCCTCACCCTTTTTACATTGCCACTTCATATCTCTGCTCATCTACATGACCCTTTCACCTCTGTGTCCCTCTATAAAGGCTCCCCTACCTCTAGGGTCCTTAACAGTTTCTCTCTCCCACCACTTCACCTCTTTCACCCCTCCACATAGTCCTTGCTGCTATGGTTTCTCTGTATCTTTCCTCACCTCTACCACACCTCCACACACTGTGTTCATCTCTACAGTCAGTCACCTGCATCCTTTTTGTGGTCCCTCTGTTCTAGGACCCAAGAGGAAACCCTCTTCATAGCTCCTTTCCCTTTGGAAGGACCCTCCACACAGCTAGGGTGCTACTCTATGACTCCTGCCAGTCAGAACCCCGAAGAACATACCCCTTTCCACCCTCCCTGTGTCTTTCCTCCACTAAGAGGCCCATGGTCCGGCCCCTGGCCAGACATCACAACCCTCATCTCTCCCCTTTTGCCTACAACATGGGTCATCTGCAGGTGCCACTAGTGGTAACCTCAAAAGCAAAACTCCCCACTCAGTGCCTTTGAAGAATGTTAAAGAAAAGCTCTTAATACACACACACACACACATACACACACACACACACACTTACCGGCATTAAATCTAAATAAGACTCCAACTTTTTCTTCAAAGGTACAGTCTGTCGTTTTAGTTCTGCCAATTTCTGAGAGTGAAATAACACAGTCACAGTGAAACCCAGGTATTCACATTGCAAATAAATATTGCCCGCCCGTTTCTATTTACTTACTTATCTGGTACTGGGGATTGAACCCTTGGTGTTCTACCACTGAACTCTATACCCGTTCTTTTTTTTTTTTTTTTCCATATAGAAACAAGGTCTTGCTAAATTGGTGAGGTTAGCCTCAAATTGTCATCTTCCTGTCTCAGCCTCCCAAGTACCTGGGATTATTAGGCCTCTACCATTACTCCTGGCAAAACTGCCCTTTTCTGAAATAAAACATGATAAAACATTAACATTGGGATATTCTATTTATTTGTTTTGTGGTGATGGACATCAAACCCAGGACCTTGTACATGTTAAGCAAGTGCTCTATAACTGAGCCACACCTCCAGTCTAAGGATATTTTAAATAAAGTTACTAAATAGCTTGGAATAGATAAACTCACTTCCAATGGAAATGATACTTAAAAGATGCTTAATATAGGAAAGTTCTACTCTACTACCATTTATTAAGAATAGGACTTTAGTATGCTGCCTAGAAACACAAAAGAATGTAATTAAGAAAAATCATAATGTAAAGGAACAACTAGAGTCTCAAATACATATTTATGAGTGGTCAACTTTAGATTCCAAGGATCTGGGCATAGTAACTCAGGCCTGTAATCCCACCCCCTCAAGAGGCTAAGGTAAGAGGTTTACAAAGTTAAAGGTCATCTGAACAAGTTAGAAAAAGTCTGACTTGAAATTTTAAAAATTTTGAAGAAGACTTAGGGGTCAGCAGTATAATACTTGCTATAAATGTGGAAGCCCAGGGGTTCAATCCTCAGTACCACACACACATAAAATGCTATGAGCTGGGCCTGCTAACACATCTATAATCCCAGCTACTCAGAAGGTTGAGGCAGGACTGATGGACTCCAAGAGTTCAATAGCAGCCTGAGCAACATGTCTTAAAAATAAGTAAGTAAATAATATAAAGTAAATAAATAAATGATGTGGTTTGAATGATCTCTCCAAAACTTATGTTGAAATCTAACTGCCATTATAACAATATCAAGAGGTGGAAACTTTAGAAGTAATTAGGCCATGCTCATGTGAGGGAATAAAGTCATTATGACAGGAGCGCGTTCCCGATGAGAAGGATGAGCTCAGCTGATTTCTCTGACTCCTGCTGGCTTGTCCTTCTGCCATCTTATGACACAGTAGAAGGCCTTCATCAGAGGTTGCCCTCTCTGATCTTATATTTCTCAGCCCCTAAGTAAGTTTCTATTACTTATAAATTACCCAGTCTGTGGCATTCTGTTACAGCAGCAGACTAAGACAATAAACTCACCTCTGACAGTGCTAGTAGTGACTGATGAGACAGGGATGCATCCATGCCCCTAGCTGAAAGCTGTTCCTACAGTTACAAAAGAAGGTATTTGGTAAGAAAATTATTTTGAAAGTGACCATCATGGAGTATTTTTAATACATAATACAGTGAAGAGGAGCTATACATCACAGATGAAAAATTATACATGCATCTGAGTCTTCTATGTTACATGTAAATCTTTTCCACAGTGATAACTGTGACAAAATGGATATAGGGTTTAAGGGCCTGTGAGATTCAGGGTTTGAATGCCTGACTTTGAATCTGGATCTGCTGCTAAGTAATTATGCAACGTTGGGCAAGTTACCTCTCTTCTCTGTATTTCCCTCATCCATAAAAACTGACTAATAATATTGCCTAGTTGTAAGGCTGAAGGTCAAAGAGAGCTAGCTATATTTGGTTCTTCACACAAACCTCTGCAGCTTTGATTCCAAATCTGAACTCCTCTGACTTGGCTTTTAGGAAGTCCATGTTCTGAAGACGATTGTCAACTTTGGCCCTTTCAGTAGACAGATGCAGTTCTGCCTTCTTGAGATCCCTTTTTTAAAAGCAAAATTAAAAGCATTTTTTCTCCTCACCCTCAATGAAATAATTATTAAAACAAACAAACAAAAACTTTTTGGATTCAATACTGGCTTAGCCAATAATAGATAGCCTACTTGCTAGATCCTCTACCATAAATCTTATGTCCCAGACTACCATACATTCTTTCAGGTCACTTTCCTCACCATGCCGCCATCTGGGATTTTTTTGCAGAGAATACAAAATAATTTTAAGATTAACTTATATTAATTATTCTTGGAGATTGTAAATCTGCTACTCAAGAAAATGACTGAATAGCTGGTATGGTGTTACATGCTACTGAGTGGCTGAGGCAGGAGGAATGAAAGTTTGGGGCCACATCAAAAACCTAAGGAGACTCTGTCTCCTAAAATAAAAATAAAAAAGAGCCAGGGATTTGTTTCAGTGGGAGAGTGCCCCTGAGTTCAATCCCTAGTAACATAGATATACACACACAAAAAAAGAGAATAAGTGACAATAAATCCTAAAGTCAATATTGTGTTCTGGGACCTCAGGCCCAGTGGGGGGAGGGCAGATCTCCACTCCCCACAGGCTGCTCCTAAGTGTTCTTTTGTCAGGGGATGCTGGTCTGGTTCCTGTAAAGAGGCGTACTCCCTTCAGTTTCAGGCTCAAATTCTTGTCACCAATCTTTCTCCCATGACTACAGGACAATTCTGGTTTTACCCACTTTTTTTGTGGGGAGGATGATCAAAATCTTAGAATCAAATGAACTCAGTTACATTTCCATTTCTAATCCTTTATCTTGTTGCTTAATCTTTTTTTTTAAAATTCTGTCAATGCATCTTTTATTTTATTTATTTATTTATATGCAGTGCTGAGGATTGAACCCAGGGCCTCACACATGCCAGGCAAGCGCTCTACCACTGAGCCACAACTCCAGCCCTTGTTGCTTGACAGTAAAAATCTGTCTACAGTTAATATTGGACAGTTATGATAGTTGCTTACCAAATGTTCTCTAGAACCCAGAAAACTGTCATCCAGAAATTAACAATGTAGATTTCCAAACTAAGAACCCTGGCAAGGAAGCTAACCCTATGTGCCAAGGTTACTGTGGCCAGTGTACCCCTTTCTCTGGACCTGGATCATCACTCAATATTTTAACTATTACACTGAAAGCAGGGGATCATTAAAAGAAAAAAATGCATGCGCGCGCACACACACACACACACACACACACACACACACACACACAAACACACACACACATCCTAAAGCCCATTTGAAACATAAGGTTCTTAAAAAAAAAAATAAAAAAAAAAACCCATAAGGTTCCAAAGGTGTCTATACTAAATGTGACAATGACACAGTGTCTTGCATGAATTGTCAATATTTGAGTACTTTTATATACTACCAATTACTTCTGTGTTTATATAATCTCTATCACTGGCCCAAATCTCTTGGGCAACAAGGACCTAAAGAAGGACCACAGCATCAAAGAGGAATATCAGGGTTATAGTAAAAAAGCTCAGCAAAATACAAGGTAACTTTAAGTTTTATGTTAGTTTATAAATTTCAAACAAAACAAAACAAAACAAAAACACATACAGTTAGATATGGTGGCGTAAGCCTGTTATCCCAGTGATTTAGGAGGCTGAGGCAGGAAGATTGAAAGTTCAATGACAGCCTGGGAAACTTAGCAAGAGCCTGTCTCAAAATAAATAATATTTTAAAAAGGACTAGGATATAATGCTCAGTGGTAGAGCATCCCAGGGTTCAATATGCAGTACTGAAAGGAAAAAAAAATTATAAAACCCACATTATTTCTAAAACAAAAAACAAAGGTAATAAATTATATAAAGTAAAAGGTAAACATTTGTACTTGACCATTCCCCACCTCCATTAAAGTCATTTTTCTACAAAAAAAAAAAAAAAAAAAAGTTTTATGGACCCCATTTTCTTATGTAGTTTTTTTGGTCCTGGAGAAGCAGTACACTTCACCATTGAGTTATATCCCCAGCCCTTTTTATTTTTGATTTTGAGACAGCGTCTTGCTAAGTTGCTTAGGGCCTCAATAAACTGCTGAGGCTGGCTTTGAACTTGAGATCCTCCTACCTCAGCCTCCAGAGTTGTATATTACAGGCATGTTTCAAAAGGTCTGGCTTCTCATGTAGTTTTGAAAATCATACCTACTGTCAAAACTAAGTCTCATAATGTTGTTACGTCTTTATAATCAAAATTGTCAACACATTCAACTCAATTACTTACTCTCGTAGACATTTTTCTAATACTAAAGTTGCAGTTAGATTTTTTTCAAGTTTTCCCAATTCAAGCTTTATCTCTTCATTTTTGGATTTGGTACGAAAAAGATCAGAGGTCAAATCATTCACTGCAGGGATAAAACTAAAAGAAGAATTTGGTTACATACCTGAGTTGAAGACAATAATGATAAGTATTTATTATTAAAAATGATCTTATGTCTATGTAGGTTCTGATATAATCAAATTGTTTCATATGTTTATGCATTTTTTTTGCAAGCTATTTCCATTGCTAGAATGACCTTCTTCAGGTGGCAAAATTCCATTTGTCTTTTAAAACTCTGCTGTTCAGCCTACATGTTCTTATACTGAAAATGCTGCTCTGAGTATATAGAAATTCCAAGCTTTTATATTGGTAATTAAACAGAACAATTGTGTAGTTCTCTGATTATGATAAATTATAATGGTAGTCCTAGCTAAGAAATGACCACCAGTGATAGTCAGATGAACTTTGGAGACTGGGTTAGGATCCTAATTTGCTGTTTACTAGAAAAACTATTAGCCCACTCCTCCCAAGTCTCAGTTTCCTCTTAAGGTTCTTGAAGAATCATGTATAGGTATATATATAAAGGCAACTGTCACAAAGAATGAAGGTCTCTATCCTACTTTACTCAACAGAATGATAGATACATGATCAAGATTTACCATACTGGGGCTGGGGATGTAACTCAGTGGTAAAGCGCTTACATAGCATGTGTAAGGCCTTGGGTTAAATCCCTAGTGCTGTACAGATAAAACAAAATTTACCATGCCTGACCAGATAATTTAGCCTTGTGACAGCTTTTCTTAGTGTTTACAGGGAACAATGTGATACCCAATCCTTCTCCAAATACATGTGAGCCCACCTTCACAACCTAATCCTAAAAGAAGAAAGCACCAAAAATTAAACAGTATCAAATTCATCTTAACTAATCTTACTTACTAGAAAAAATAAGGAGTTAATTAAAATGGCTTTTGTATTTATTGTTAATTTTCTATACAGAATTACCTCGAGAAACAAAAAGTCTTTGGGTCAAGACATTACAAAATGACTACAAAAATTAAAACTGTCATAATTACCTTGCTAGTGAGGTGTCCTTTGTTTCAAGGGCCACTGCACTGTCAACCAAAGCATTCAGATACCTGGAACCAGTGCTAGACAGATTGGCAGGGGAAAAATTCACACTCTCCATGAGAAGGTCTTGAAGATGTTTAGCTGAAAGATAATTTCATGATGACTAAGATATTTTGTCTTTATTATTTTCTTAAACCTTTAACATCTATATTATAGTACAAGTCATACCATACAATCTACCCACTTAAAGTATACAACTTGATGGATTTTAGTATATTGAATTGTATACCTGTCAACATACCTATTTTAGAACATTTTTGTCACCCCCTAAAATAAACCACGTATCCCTTAGTCACAACTTTTCAATCTCCTAAGCCACAAATCCCTAGCAGCCACTTTATGTCTCTATTCATCTGTTTATTTTGGACATTTCATATAAATGGTATCATAAAATATGTGGTCCTTTGTGACAGCATAATGGTTTCAAGGTTCATTCATGTTACAGCATGTATCAGCATGTTCACTCTCTTTTGTGGCTGAATAATGTTCCAGCATACAGAGAGAATACTCTCTGTTGTATGAACAGATCACATTTTGTTCATCCATTCATTCTTTCATGGACCTTTGAAAAAATGAAAAATTCTGCTGTAAATATAGATATATGTTTTTTTTAGTTTTATGGATTTTATTTTTTTAAATACATGACTGCAGAATGCATTACAGTTCTTATTACACATATAGAGTACAATGATTTATAGGTTTTGATATGAACATACATGTCCATATTTTTTGGTATATACCTTAGAGTTAAATTATTGGTTGTAAGGTAACTCTATATTTAGCCATCTGGGGAATTACCGGAATGTATTCCCAAATGACCATGCTTTTACATTCTCATCAGAAATAAATGAGGTTTCCAAACTCTCCACATCTTCCCCAAATGTTATTATATCTTTTTGATTACAGCTGTCCTATTGGGTACTAGATAGCATTGTAGTTTTGATTTGTATTCTTCAGTGATTATTGATGCTGCTTATTAGCCATTTGTAAATCTTCTTGGAAGAAATGTCTAGTCATATTCCTTTTGCATTTTAAAAATGTGTCACTTGTCCTATTATTAAATCAGAAAAGTTCTTTATATGTTGTAGGTCTAACTACATGTGTTTCAGATATATGATTTACAAATTTTTTTTCCCATTCTGTCAACTATCTTTTTTTCATTCTTTCTCTCTCTCTCTCTCTCTCTCTCTCTCTCTCTCTCTCTCGATTTCTCTTTTTTTGGAGGGGTGCGGATTTAACCAAGGAGTGTTCTACCAGCCCTTTTCTATTTTTATTTTGAGACAGAACTCACTAAGTTGCTAATGCTGGCCTTGTATTTGTAATTCTCCTGCTTTAGTCTCTGGAGTCATTGGGATTATAGGTATGCACCTATAATGGGCCACCAAATGCCACAGTCTGGCTGGGCACAATTCAGGAGCCACTTGTCAAAAGAAACTAACTTTATTTTTAGAACCACACAGGCCAAACAAAACAGCTCCTCAGGAAAAACCCTCAGAGCCCAACTGCCACCACCTGGCTTCCCACAAGCCTCTCACCTGACACACGCCTCTCCACCTCCCCCAATCCTCCTGCTCTAAGGCGGATTGGCTGGGTCGCGTGGGCGGAGCCAAAAAAGTCCCCCAATGAGCAGCTCCATGGTCTGAAAGGGCAGGGAAACAGCCCAATGAGCATCACCGCAGAGGAGCCAATCAGCTAGATGTTGCTGGGGCCGCTATGAACCAATCATCAGCCGGCAGCTGGAAGTTTGCTGGGGCCCCTTCGGCTGTGGCTCTCAACACCCCTTGCCCAGCTTGAGTTAATCCTTATGAATGGCATGAGGTAGGCTCCAACTTAATTCTTATACATGTGGCCATCCAGTTATCCATACAGCACCATTTGTGGAAAAGACTATTCTTTCCTTTATTGAATTATACTGTCATCCTTACTCAAAAACGATTGACCAAGAGATGAATCATGAACTGTTGCTGGCCTGTTTTCCAGTGAAAATTATAAAAAAAAAAAAACAACCACTAAGACTCTGGAAATAGTCCTAAAAAAGACTAAGCAAAAGAAAAAGCATCTATTCAAGAAAATATCTACGCAAACTCAGTAAGGAAGGTCAAGACTACTCCTTCTCTCCTCCTTTCTAGTTTAATGAGGTGGAGACTCCATTGGGGACTGCTGCAGTCAAGAGCACAGGGCTCCCTTTGCTCCTAACTCCTAGCTTCAGGGCTTTCTTTCTAGTGGGAGCAGGACTACAACATTTTGAATCTTGTTGTAGCCACTGTTGCTAAGACCAAGTCCCAGATGACTTGTGGCATAGTAGTTCAATCTTGGATGCGGTATAATGAGAATACTAGGGCCCCAGTGGCTCCTGCAGCAGCTAGTGAGGCAGAGATTACACTTCAAGAGAGGCAAGGCAAGATGACCTAAGACTGCCACACTTCCCCCACCATTCAGCATCCACATAGAGGTGCCACTCAGAGAGAAGCTTGCCATTGCTCTACTCCCAGACCCAGAGCCCTGGCTCAGAGGTTTTGCTTGGATGGAGGGGTTGCTGGGAGAAGCAAGTCATAAAATGATAGTTCACCATCTCTTCCTAAAAGAACTAACTTCATTTGCAACAGAGCATGGAGAAGTTCAAGCCTAAGTACATTCTCAAAAATGGCAGAAACTGCAGTAAAAGGCAATTGGGAGCACAGTCAGGCCAGTGAGTTTATAGAAGAGAACAAAGGAATAATATATCTAGGAGCCATGCTGGAGTTAGAACAACTATCCAATGGACCGCAAAAACTATTCCTATGCCAAGTATTTAGTAGTGGCGATGTACCAATAAATTTTTTCCAGAGAAACAGAATTACTAGGCTTTACTAGGATATATGTAGGAAAGCCAGCAGCAGGCTTCTGATGGTGTAATACCAAGGCAGACTGTCTTCCTCAGGGAATTCTGGTTTTGCTCATAAGGCATTTCACTGATTGGATGAGGTCCAACCAAAATAACTCCTTAAAAAAATTTAAAAAAATAAAATAAAATAAAAGAGTGAAACTCCTGTACATACAGGCAGCTGATCGTAGATGTCAACATCTATAAATTATCCTCATGGTTGTACCTCTTAATTATTTTATAGATTGTATTGTATGCATTCCCACTACTGTGAAATCTCTCAGTGACAAACTGACAGAGGTATTCCTTTTTTCCCTTTGTGTTATCCCTGAGTTATAGAACATTTCATGTTTTAGGATAACTGGCATTTATCTACTTTTTTCTTGTACTTCTTGTGGAAGCTAATGTTCAATCTTTCAAAGTACTCCCAGCAGCACCAGACATATAGAAACTATTCTGAATAATTAAAAATAAATAAATATTTACAGTTATTTGCAAACAGAAAAAAAAACTATTCCTCTGAAGGAGTAAGAATTTGATTAGTTTGTACAGCAACTTATGCCTTGGGGCATTGTTGAAAACAATTGTCAGCTATCAATTTGTGGAATTTCACAGCTGGATGGTCAGTGTGAGAAAGGAAAAGAGCCCCACCAAAACTACCATCATCCAAGGGTGACTGGGCATATTGAAGCACATGTGTCCCTGAGGAGCATCATCAGAAGCTTAACACTGTTGAAGGTAATGAGACTTCACTAAAACAATCCAGCCAGCCACTGAACAAATTTAAAAAAAATAAATAACAATATCAGGAAGGGAAAGGGAGAATAGAACCCAGCATTGCTATAACATATTATCTAGAAGGTCTAGTTTCCAACAAAAACTATGAGTGTGGAGGATGGGGATGTATGTAGCTCAGTGGTAGAGTCTTTGCCTAGCATGTGTGAGGCCCTGGGTTCAAACCCCAGCACTGCCAAAAAACAACAACAATAACAAAAACAAAACAACAACAAAAAAAAAACAACAATGAAGGATAGAAAGAACATGAACATATGACCCATAAACTGAAGGAAGGAAAAAAAAAAGTAAGCAAAGGTCAGGCATGGTGGCACATGCATGTAATCCCACTGACTTGGGAGGCTGACACAGGAAGACCACAAGTTCAGGGCCACCCTCAGTAACTTAGTGAGGCTATAAGCAACTTAGAAAGATTCTGTCTCAAAATAAAAAAATAAAAAGGGCTAAATATATGTCTCAGGGAGTCATTACTCTTATCAGGAGACCTCAAAATCTCCAAAATAAGCAAGTTCACAGAACTAAATGACGCCAATTTAAAAAGTAAAGAAAGGTCAGGTGACAATGTTGGATCAAATAGAGAGCATCAATAAAGAGCTAAAATGGTTATTTTTTTTTTAAAGAACTAAATAGAAACTTGGAATTAATGAGTATAATAATTGAACCAAAAAAAAAAAATTCGCTAGAGGGGGCTGGGTATGTATGTCAGTGGTGAAGTGATTGCCCAGCATATGTGAGGTCCTGGGTCTGATCCCCAACAATACCAAAAAATTTAAAAATAAATCACCAGAGAGGATTAACATTGGATTGAACATAGTAGAAGGAAAAAAATGAATGAATTTGCCAGGTATATGCCTGTAATCCTAGGGATTCAGGAGACATAGGCAGGAGGATCACAAATTTGAGGCCAGCATGGGTAACTTAGTAAGTTCCTGTCTCAAAAAAATTAAAAAATAAATAAAAAGAGTTGGATATGTAGCTCAGTGGTAGAATGTTCCTGGGCTCAATCCCCATTACTAGAAAAATAAAAAAAGAAAAAGAAAAAAATAAAAAGAAAGTGGAAAAAATGTAATAAGAAATAATACCTAAAATTTATCACATTTACTAAAAAAAGAATAACTTATACAATCAGGAAGCCCAACAAAGAGATTCACAAATAGACATCAGAATAAAATGTTGATGTAAAACACAAGCAGAAAAATCTTAAAAGAAACAAAAGAAAAGCTACTTGTTACTTACAAGAAAACCTTATGATAGACTAACAGCCAACAACAGGGACCATACATGGGAAAACATATGCAAAGTGCTCAAGAAAATAACTGTCAACCAAGTATCCCATATCTAGCAAAACTACTTTAGGAAAATGAAGGCAAGAGCCTGGGGTCTATCTCATGTACACTAAGCAAGTGCTCCAGGAGCACTTGCTTAGTGTACATGAGGCTCTGGTTTTAATCCCTAGGACCACAAAACAGTGTCCTCTGGCCAGGCGCGGTGGTACATGCCTGCAATCTCAGTGGCTCAGGAGGATCAGGAATTCAAAGCCAGCCTCAGCAACAGCAAGGTGCTAAGCAACTCAGTGAGACCCTGTCTCTAAGTAAAGTACAAAATAAGGCTGGGGGCTGGGGATGTGGCTCCGTGGTCAAGTGCTTCTGAGTTCAATCTCCGAACACCCAAAATATGTCACTCCGAAAGGTTTAAGGTCAGAAAAATAACCCTACTTTGAAAATTCTTGAAGTTTTAGTTATACGCTATCGACAAAAAGAAGGCTCCTACAAAATGAGATTATCCTGGTCTCAAAAGCCCTTCTTCTATGTTGTATTTTAATAACTACAAAAATAATTATTTAAAAATAGAACAATTTTAGAAGAACATGTACAGAAGAATCTGAATCCAAACCAGCAGTACATGGGAGCAATGGAATTGTTCTGTATCCTGATTGTGGGGGCGGTTCTAGACTCTATTTGTGTTAAAACAGTACACCAAAACAAAGACTCACACTAAATGTTAATTTAATTTTATATTTTTGGTATTGGGGATTGAATCCAGGGGTACTTTATCACTAAGTTACATCCCTAGCTTTTTAAGATTATTTTGTTTTGTTTTACTTATTTATTTTATGTGGTGCTGAGGATTGAACCCAGTGCCTCACATGTGCAAGGCAATTGTTCCAATTGCTCTACCACTTAGCCACAACCCTAGCCCTGCTTTTTTTATTTTTTAAGACAGCATCTCCCCAAATTGCTTAGGGCCTTGAACTTGTGATCCTCCTGCCCCAGTCTACTGAGTCTCTGGGATTACAAAATCAACTATGTTAACTTTACTAAGAAAAATTGGAAGAAAGTACACGTGCAATAGAACTAAGTATAAATTGCACTATGTTCAAAACCTATCTAACAGTGCCATCTACTTGGTTAAAAATAGGGTAAATGTAAGTTTCATTTCCTTTCTCTTTGGTATAGTTCCATATCTAAAAAGACTTTTATTAATCTTTAGTGGTTTATATTATGAAAAAATGAGTATCTGGAATGTACTTTTTTATTTATTGTTTTCTTGGGGGGTGAGGTACCAGGGATTTGACTCAGGGGCACTCAACCACTGAGTCACATCCCCAACCCTATTTTGTATTTTATTTAGAGACAAGGTTGCTTAAACACTGAGTTGCTTAATGCATTACTTTTGCTGAAGCTGGCTTTGAACTTGGGATCCTCCTGTTTCAGCCTCCCAAGCCCCTGGGATTATAAGTGTGTGCTCTCGTGCCCAGCTGTACTATTTCATGTAAAACATCCAACAGAAAATTCTAATGTGATTCCCTGATACATAGTCATAAGGTGATATGTCTAAGTTTCCCACTTCATGGCTGCCATCTCAGGTGTCCTAAAAGTTCCTATGACTAAGGCATGGGGGCTGGAAATAGACTAAACAAATGTTTAAGGGAAAAAAATACAAGGCATCTTATATATGAGGCTTATACTTTTAGACTCTTATTTTTTTAGGGCTTTCCTATTTTTCTATTAGAGTACCAATAGAACATTTACTACAATAAAATTTGTGATTTGGAAAGTTACCACTGGAACATTATAACAGTGGAAGACAACTCTGCATAAAATAAAGGAGCAAAACAAGTATATACTAATCTCGAATACTTTCGTGTTATAAAAAATTTGGTTACTTCTATTATCTCATTCATAATTCTAGACTTACTCTCACCTTCAGATTCATATTCGCTTGCTTTCTGTTTCAAGTCCTCTATTACCAGGTGGACGTCCCTGTCCCGGACCTTGTTGCGTTCTGAAAGGTGATATAAAATCTCTGTGGTCCGTGGGTTCACCTCATACTGTGGAATAGGATGATCTCCAAATATTTTTTTTAACCACGCAGCGACCTAACCATTAAAAGGAGGCAAATATTAAAAGCCTTGATTGTTGTAATGGCACGACTATGACAAAGAAGTACTCAGAAGCAAACTAAACTCTAAGCCTATTCCGGCATCCTACTTCACATCCTAATTTGTCTTTGGGGGGATATATTAGATGGCAGGATATAAAAAGCAAGCAAGCACAATGACTCGGGCTGGGGCAGGTGGATCACAACTTTGAGGTCAGCCTCAGGAATTTAGCGAGGCTCTGTCTCAAAAGAAAAATAAAAAGTTCTTAGGATGTAGTTCAGGGAAAAGTGCCCTTGGGTTCAATCCCCAGTGGGGGCTGGGGGAGAGTCCAAATGACCAGATAAAAATTCATGCCGCTTCACTTTGAAAATCTTAAAGCTTGGCACGCGGTGCAAACGCACGAGTATACACACGCAGGGTCTGAAAACAAGCCTTTGCCCACACACCATAAACCCCGCAGTGTCAGGAGAACCGAGGGTCGGGATGCAGCTCTAGAGGAAAAACTCTAGTAGGAAGCAGCAAAGAACCTCAAGGCTTGGCTGGAAGGTGGGTTTGGGCTCAGAAGTCACACTCCAGTCCTCCCGGAGGGGGTTTGAGAGGTGGCTGGATCCCAGCAAAAGGGAAGGCCAGAGAAAGGAAACGCCTTTCCAAGGGGTCTCAACAGACTAGTGCTCGCAGATCGGGAAGGCGGTTTAGAGTTTGGGAGAGAAAAAGTAGACAGGGCGTGCACAGGACATCCGTCGGCGGCGTGGATGTGTCAAAGATGAAGTTTCCAGGAAACCGCAAAATCCCGCTCCCGTCCCATCACCTGGGCTTCTTTTTCCTCCCTCGCCTCCATCACAGCGGATCCCGCCACTTCACGCGCCACTCCTCGCGGGAGAAACGCTCCCTCCGAGGGCCCCGCCCACACGCTGTTGCCCCCGCCCCTCATCAGAGCGAGGATTTCTGGGAGTTGTGGTTTTTATTCCGACTCCAAGCCGCGGAGTCCTTGGACTAGGCTTGTCAGGGCTTCACCTTTGCAGCCTCCCCTCCTTGCCACACCTCCCTGCTCTCTCTGCCCTCTGTGGTCTAATCTTCAGGTATAACCCATAACACTGTATTTAACACTATGAGAGGTTCTTTATATAGCGATTTTTAATTTTCTGTACATTTTTATATATTTTTTTCACTTATAGGAACTCTGTAAAATAGGTAGACACAAATTATTTTATCCATTTTCACATTAAAACACCCATAAGTGGATTAAATGACAACCAAGATTAGGTAGTAGAGTTAGACCTGACCAAAGTGTTCTGGTTGTAATTAGGAATTTCAATCTTCATACTGCTGCTAACAACCTCCTATAATGTGTACTGTGTTATTATGAAGTGCAGAGACCTCAAAGGTCTGTGTAATCAACTTTCTGTGATATTCGATTTAATGTGAAACTGTGGGTCAGACTTATCACCAACTATCTCCTAGATCAATTTTATGCCTATTTTAAATGATTAAGTCTTTATTTTCAAAGGAATCTTACTAGCTAGCCAATACCATATTTTATGGCCTCTGTTTCAAATACAACTGTGCTCAGTAAACTACAGTAAACTAAGCAAATTTCAGTAAACTAAGTTGAAATTTATTGCTAAATTTCAGTAAACTAAGCAAATTTCAATAAACTAAGTTGGTGCAACCACTATGTATGGAGAAAATGATCTTTATGTTCTTTGTCCTTATTTATTTTTTTACAAAATATATCCCTGCAATTTTGTTTTACATTCCCCCTCCCCCAAAGTACTTTTTTAAAATTTTTATTTTAAGACAGGGTCTTGCTATGTTGTCCAGGCTGGCCTTGAATTTGCAATCCTCCTGCCTCAGCTTCCTGAATGCTGGGATTATAGATGTGTGCTACCACACCTGCCTGTATACTGTGTGTGTGTTTAATTTTTTATTTTTGGTACCGAGGACTTAACCTAGGGGCATTTAACCACTGAGTGGCATCCCTAGCCCTTTTTACTTTGAGTTTTGTTAAATTGCTTATGGTCTCTCTAAATTGCTCAGTCTGGGGGGCTGTGGCTCAGTGGCAGAGCACTTGCTTAGCAAGTGCGATGCACTGGGTTCATTTCTCAGCACCACATATAAATAAATGAATAAACTAAAGGTCCATCAACATCTTAAAAAATAATAATAAAAAAAATTAAATTGCTCAGTCTGGCCTTCTCAGGGTTAGCCAGTGCATCCTTAGACAAAGTGATGCTGGGAACCGCTTTTCTGCAGGTTCCGCTACTCACGTGGTCTCCGGGGCAACCACAAGGTCGACTGGAAATACTAAAATAAATGTACAATGAATGCTGAGCCGAAGCTGGCAACAGGCGATTCATTCATTTTGAGGGTTCAGCTTAAAAAATAAAAAGAATACTTGAAAAATAAAGAAACCCACCCCTCACGCTCAAAAAAAGCAGATTCGCATCCGGTGAAGCGGGGGGCGGTACTTCCGGATCAGGTGGGCCGGCTGCCTTGACCTTCCTCGGCGCTCGGCCATTTTGTCCCAGTCAGTCCCGAGGCTGCGGCTGCAGAGGAACCGCCTGAGCAGAAACTTGAAAATGCTGTCCGTGCGCGTCGCCGCGGCCGTGGCCCGCGCCCTCCCTCGGCGGGCCGGGCTGGTGAGCGCCGCGGATTGGAGCGGGGCGGCTCGGTGGGGCGGCAGCGGGTGGCGGTGCGCTGGCTCTGGAGCTCTGCAGCGAGACTGAAGGGTTGTAGCGGACGCCGCCATCTTGCACTGTGGCAGCTCGGCTGGGCGGGTGGGCGAGCGACAGAAGGGCCATTTTGCTTGCCATCCATGCGAAATGGTGCAGAGTGGTGCCGGGGAGTTAGTGACCTCGATGTTGCCGTGATACGGGGGTCTCCTTAGGATTCTAGTCTTGGGCCTAGAGCGGCCGGAGCAGAGGCCTTGGGTGAAGGTCAGAAGTTGGGTGCTAGCTTTCTCAGAGGACTTTCTCAGAGGGGGCTCCTTCCGGCTGATTGTCCCCATCTGGTACTCTGAAGGTCAGAGGACTGCTGTCAGCTCTTGCTGAAGCAAGTCAGGGGAGCCTGACATTGTGTGAAGGTCAGCAGGACCCAGCATTTTACCTCTAGTCGGAGGTCTGTTCAGAGCAAAGCAAACGTTTCTTGAATTCTTAAGAAGCGGTTTGTCACTACTGAATACTGAAACCACGACCGTTTGAATGCACAGTAGTGACTGCACATCGTGCAGATGAAGAAAAAAAAATCTTTTTGTGTGGCCAATATATCACAGCAATGAAGCTGGTTTCCAAATTGTTTCGGTTTCACCGAAGACTGCTTTGTGATTCCTTGACGTGTACAGATTTCGTCCTTGAATTGTTCATCTGGTGGTTTGAGGAATTGTTGGACAGTGTTCAAGAATTTTCAAGTCTATTGTAAAAGCATTCACATTTGCCTCTTTTATCTCAGAAGTAATCTGAATTTGAAAGGTGAAATAAATATACTGGCCATTTTGCTGCCCTAAAACAGCCTGGTAGCTTCTTGGTTTTCTGTTAGCTGCAAAACATTTTTAACTATTTTCATCTATCTCCTATAGAAGGCAGTAGCTTCAAAATTGACAGTGACCTGAAGATGTGGTGGTGAACATTTGTGATCCCAATGATTGGGGAGCCTGAGGCAGGAGGATCCAAATTTTAGGCCAGCTTTAGCAATTTAGCTGGACCCTGTTTCAAAATAAAAAGAGCTGAACTGGGGATGTAGTTGAGTGGTACAGGGTCCGGGTAGTCAATTCTTAGTACTGCAAATACACAAATAAAAGTTGATAGTAACCAATCACAGTATTCTAACTTGAAGGAAAGAGGAGGAGTCCAGGTTGCTACAGGATTTATTCATGACAGTAAAAAAAAAAAAAAAGATCCACATGCCTTGTCTTTTTAGTTTCTTAATTTAGCTCTAACATCATTTTTTGTTTGCTTGTCATTTTCTTTAAAGTAAAATTGGGACCATCTTGAGATTTGTTCTTTAGGAAATTCTGCCATTGAGCTACATTCCAAGCCCCTCTTTAAATTTTTGAGTCAAGGTCTCACTTAGTTGCCAAGACTGGTCTCCTGAGTAACTAGGTACAGGCTGTGCCACTGTCCTCAGCTAGGAAGAAGTTATTAGAATTTCTGCAACTCAAGTAAAATCTAAAGCCATAATAATAATACCTGATTGCTTTTAAAGGGAAAGATACATATACTTTGTTAGTAGCTGCTTTTTAAAATAGACTCCATTTAAAAAGAATTCTTTTTATAAAGTGCTAATTGTGTACTAGGAACTTTATTATACACTCAACATATACCTAAAGGTACTTCCTCAACTGAATAATACACTTCAAATTTTAAACAGAATATTTTAAATATACTTTACATTTTTATCAATAATTTGATCAAAATACGTCTGCATTTGTGAAGCTTGTCAGTTTCATGAATGAATATTCTTGCACTAGGTCTCCAAAAATGCTTTGGGATCATCCTTCATTGCTGCAAGGAACCTCCATGCCTCTAATACCCATCTTCAGAAGATTGGTAAGTCTGTGCACCACACTTACCACCTTATCATTAAATGAAAATATAATTTACAAAGATTATATAACTGTTGGGCTTTTTTTTTTCCTTTTTCTGTCATTTTTAGTTACTACAGAATCCCAGATTTTTACAGTTATTTGCCTTTTATCTTTGTCTTGATATAGGTTCTGTTGTTCTACTGAAATGAACTCTAGTTATATATTTATTTATTAGTACAGCTTCTTTGTTCTGGTAATTCTTGTGCAAAAACAAGGACATTGTAGTAGGTACCCTTTCTGATTTAGGAAAGAGTTCTTTTTCCTCACCTAAAAGCATTAGAAAATAATGAGCAGTTCTTACTGATATGTTTTCAAAGGCAGTGGCCACTCCTTTATACCTGGAAGTCTGAATTTGCAAGTTGCAAATGCAATAGAGAAATAGGGAGGTGAGTATAAGAATATGCTATAGGTTGGGGAATTTCTTTGGACATGTGTAGTTTAGGGGGTTTTGTCCTTTTTTGTGTGTTGGGGATGAGCCCTGGCCTGCACATGTTAGGTTAGCACTCTATCACTAAGCTAAATCACCATTCTTTTTTTAAAATTTGAGTTAGGGTCTCGATAAGTTGATGAGGCTGACCTTAAACTTGTGATCCTCTTTCTTTAGTCTCATGGGTAGCTGGGTTACAGGCATATATCACTGTACCTGTCTAAGTGCTCTGTGTTTTATATATATGCTGTTTTGAATCTTTAAATTTCTTTTAATGCTGGGGATCACACCATACTTAGCTTTGCACATTCTAGGCAAGTACCACTGAACTAACCCAAGCCATAAAACACATTCATGTTTTGTATGGATTTCAGCCAGAAATGTAGGTTTCAACATAGGTATAGGTTCTTTGAAAATTAAACTAGAGGACCAGGTGTGGTGGCACATTTCAGTAATCCCAGCTGCTCAGAATGCTGAGACAGGAGGATCACAAGTTTGAAGCTAGCCTGGTAAAGACTAATTAAGACCCTGTCTTAAAATTTAAAAAAAAAAGGACCCTTAAAGGTCTAGGGATGTAGCTCAGTAGTAGAGTGCTTGCTTAGCTTGCTTGAGACCCTGGGTTCCATCCCCAGTACCACAAAAAAGAAAAGTAAAAAGAAATTAAACCAAAATGTTTAGCTTTGTTAACTTCTTGCCTGTTTTACATTTGACTTGTGGAGTACATGGCTTTGAATCATTTTCTTTTTTTATTGGGATGGTGGGTACTGGGGATTGAATTTAGGGGCTTTGGACCACAGAGCCACATCCCCAGCTCTATTTTGTATTTAAAAATGAGTCTCACTGAGTTGCTTAGTGCCTCACTGTTGCTGAGGCTGGCTTTGAACTTGCACTCTGCCTGCCTTATCTCCTGGGT